GACGGCTCGTATCGACCAATCCAGAATTTTTGATGTGATTGATGGGCGGCGAGGAGGGCCGCAAGAACGAGCCCCGTCGATACGATCATGATTATTATTAATTTTACAGGTATTATTGGTTATCGTTTATATTTATTCAGTACTATCCGGTTGGTCCACCCCTCCCCTTCACCCTGTCAACCCTCTCGTCCCACACCATCGTCCATATTTGCCTCCACGCCGCAGGATAGAGGCGAAGTTGCGTATAGGTTGGGACGATGCCGCGGAGAGAGACGGCTGTATTTACAAGCTCACAAAGCAACGATACGCAATATTAAAATGTACGGGTAAATTAAAAGTAGAAGCTGCGTGGAATCGACTAATAAAAAATTATTTCGTCGCAGCTGCAGTCTGACCGGCGCGATTAAATGTCGTTGAGTATCGTAACTTTCGATGACCGTCCAGGGGAAAACGAACAAAGAGAGAAACGATCCACGCAAAGATCTGTTAAATATATTTTATTAATCGTTGAACGCTTATTCGCTGAAACAGATGAAGAACTCTTCGCACTGTGCCTCGTCGAGCTTGTGTAACGAACTTTGTAGATGTTGCTGTTGGAGGAGAAAATTAGGAAGATAGTAAAGAAGAATTAAGGGAAGAGAAGATGCAGGAATGGGGAAAAGTGTAAACGCGATCAATGGAAGATCGAAAATCGAAGGTTTCGGCGGCGAGGGTTAAACTCTGCCCTTCGGTCCTGCGAAGGTTACGGAAAAGGCGTGAGAAAGAAATGAAAGGTCTGCGAAGAGAAAAGCTCTCTTTTATTAAACGAAAAATTGGATCGTGCTTGTCGGAATGCAATATTTCGACGGATTCATTTGGTGGAAACATTTCTTCCTCGGGAAAAAATTCAATCAAATCCAGAAGGTGAGGTAGGAAGGTAGAGGAGGGTGACAGAGAGTGGAAGAGGAAAGAAGAGAGGAGAAGCGAAAACACGCTAACGTCGGTCGGGAAGCGAAGAGAAGAGGAGAAGGAGCGAGAAGAAAAGTACGAAAAGTTCGAAGAGCAAAAAGTCACGTCGGGCCCGGGTATCGAAATATTTACAAGCTATCGAGCGGTATTATTTCATTGGCGGCGGTCGATCCTTTCAACGTGACCGTTGCAAAATTCAATCTCATTGATCGATCGCCACGGTCGTTTATAACTTCGTCGAAATTGCATCGTTAGCGGCGCGGTGAGGTATCGATCAACGGCGCGGCTCATTATTTCTCTCCGGCTTCGCTGCAAATGATACTTTCTTCGAAAGCAGACAGATTGCGTACAAAATTCCAGGACGGACCGCCGTTAATATTCCTACCAGACGATGCACATTATTCTCATTACCTCATTAACACACACCGGCCGCCACTCCATCTCGTTACGACAGAGATCGCGCGTGTATCTTCTTTCTTTTTCCCTTACACACCTCGTACGTGCGTCACCTTTCTTACAAAGGTACAAAGTGTTTCATAACAACTGGTCAATCGAGGAAGATGTAGCAAAATATGATGAAGAAACATTTTTTTTTTTTTTTTTTCTAGTAAACGATTTCGTTTTATTTTTTAATACAGAAGGTTTAAGATAGATTAGTCTATTGTAATCAATCCTGCAATTAGTTATGAATCTTATAGGCTTCTATCGCATTTACTAAAAATACTACAAGATCAAACAATATACACAAAAAATAAGATCTCATCTTTTCATCGCCTATTACTTAATCGACCTATACTTCTGCGACACCTTATACATAAATACCGTACAAGGTTCCACGACGAACGTCTTAAACACGCGAACTTCAACGAGCAAGAACAAAGCGTCCCTACTGGCGAACGCGTTGCTGTAATTTTTCCAGCTCGAATTTCCGGAAGCCGAAACAACGACGAAGAGGAATTCCTTCGAGGATCGAGATCCCGAGTCCTGTCCGCGAGTGAATTTTCACTTTGGCCCGGGTGATGAGCCACCATTACGGTGATTTACTTAATGAGCACAGCGACATACCAGCCAAGGGAGAAAGAAGAACGAGTCGCGATGGCCATCGGACTAAGCACGATAGAGAGGGTTAAAAGTAAGGCACGCATTGTCTTCGAGAGGGCCAGGCCGAGAGAAAGTGTGTCGAAAAACAATGGTGTGTTCAACCCCTATCTGTATGCCCGTTCTTTTCGCTCGTCCTTTCCTCTCTTTTCTTCCCGGATCCTCGTCCGCACCTTGAGGCCTTGATGAAAACGTGACCTAGTATGATTCTGCTGCAGCTACCTGCTGTACCGACTGTGCTTCTCATCCCTAAAAGGCGCTCTCTGGAAATCCGCTGGCGTTGTTTCGTCCATTTTTCGTTGTTTCGTGAATAATGAATTTCTTCTTCTTTTTCCCCCCTGTTTTCTTTTCTTTTTTTCTTTCTGCCGTTTTATTTATGCTTCTATTATGACGAGGCTTCATTTCAGAGGGAGAGACTCGAATATCAAGTAAGCCTGTTAGTCTTATCGAAGAAAGGTTATCTTGTAAGCTTATCAATCGTTGTATCAGAGACCATTACGTCGCAATGCGACACAATCTACAAGCGTGCACGGGGCCGAGGTAACGAAATTAATTTTTTGCGTGACCGTTCGATCGAACCGCATTCAAGAAGCGGCGCACGCGGCCCGCTTAAGGAGCCACTCGTTGCGGCCAGTTAGAGGCGAGTGTCGCTGGTACCGAGCAGCACGGATCAATTTATTCCTTAATTTACATTTCTTTAGAAATCTTTTTACCCTCTGTCCCGCCCCGTGCCCACCGTCCCTCCGCGGTTATTTACGACATGTCGTGATAGCATGGCCGCTACCCCGACCAGGATTAATGTCGCGACCTTAATTCATTGCCGAAGCTACCTCGACCTCTTGGCCAGCTTCTCGAACAGTACGTTTTCGTGCTTGTCGTGAACGGTAATGAGTTTCTTAACGAAATTCCAATCTCAAAAAGGATCGATATTTTCATTTGCCTACTGTTCGATTGAATAACGATACCTCTTAAAGTTTAACATATTTGCTGCTATCGATGCACACGTTGCTTTATATTAATTATCTGAAATTCAATTGCCAGACTGCCGGTAATAAATGAGCTGCTCAGAAGTCGTGCCGGTCAACTCCACTTTTTATCAGAATTTCTCAATTTCATTATATAAATACACGATTAATGTTCAAGCTCCGAAAACAAATTACTTATTTCCATGTGTTCATTTGTTACAACAAGAAGAAATGAATAGTCGAACTTTAGCAACAACGTACGTCATTCAAATGTTGAAACACGGATTTGTTTATGAAAAAAAAAAAAGAATGGTCTAAGATAACAGTTTCTGTTCTGAAATCGTTTTCGAGTACCAAAGCTGTGTGATGTCGCCTGGTTAAAAAAACAACAGAAAGAAGTTATCGATTTGCATGGCAGGCAGAGGGCGGGAAAAGGCGCAAACTAATTACGTGGATTAAACAAGAGAAATGACCTTGTCATATTCATCCAGGCCAGACTCGAAACAAGCGGCGGATGGAGAGAGCAGCGACGCACCGGCACATCGGTCTCCGGGCGTTCGAACCGGTTCCAGAGTGTCTTTCCAAGGGTTGTAGAACATTCCCACTAAAATATAAAGTGGCTTTCGGGGTGGCATAGCAATGGGGTGCCTATCGCATGCATTCACCCAGGGACGCAAACGTGGGGGTGCTATTGATCGACTGGAGAGCCAGTCAACCCTCTCGGCCCTACACGCGCGCGTAAAGCTCACATGTAAAATCATATATGTATACGCACCTGCACAACGGCCGACGCATCTGTGCCTGTAGGTCGTGCAAACGAACGCGAAAGGTGGAAGGTTTAATGTCTAACTTTCGGCTTTTCGTGCGTAACAGCCCGTCCAGGTCTTCTCCGTTCGCATCAACCGATCACCCGATATGCGAACGTCTAAAAGAAGAATTCCGTGACGCGCTTATTTTACAGTAGAAAAAACATAGTATGTTCACGAGTACAGATCAAACGAGTTAAAAGCATGATTTCTATTATGATAAAGTCACATTTGTTAATATAAAAAATGTCTAAGCGTCCTGCAGAGCTTGATTTGTAGCCTGAACCGGTATCTGTTCCCAAATCACGAAATTACAAAGCACAATCTTATATTATGTTTCATCGTAAATCTACGAGTCTTCGGTATACCAACGATCAACGAGTCAGATCATCGATCTGTAGAAATTCTTGAAATTTTTACTTCTCCATAGGATCGGAACCCGCCATTCCAGTAAGTCCTTATCGCGTTATATCGCGACTGCAATTTTTCTCATAGAGCCAATTCGTTATAGGTCTTTGCGCGAGCATCGGCGAGGTTTGGCTGAAAGGTGGAGAAACGACGGTGCTGGGACGGCGAAGGGTCGTTTGGAGGGGGGTAATGAAATTGCACTCATCGTGTGAAATTTAATATTAATCCTGGATGTAATATGAGCGGACGCAGCGGTGCTCAAGCGTCGCGGAAACGAGCGTCACTTTCGTAAGGTTGCAAAGAATCGACGCCGGTAGCATCGACGTGACACGGTCGCGCCGCCATACCACGTTGGTCCGCCGTCAATCTGTAAAGCGATTATCGCGTCATTTTATCTCGCGATTGCCTTCGCTGCAATTTCTTTGCCCCTCTCCACCCTCTTTCGCCGGTTCCGCGATAATCTCGTCGTCGTTGGACGATTTTTCTTACGAATCACGACGATCTGGTTGCACCAATACAGCCTGTGTGCACCTGGTGAGATTCGTAATTGGATAGGATAAGATCGACCACCGGACAAAAACGAGACGTTATCTAACGGTTACATCGATCCGGAATTGAATGCAGAAACAGGAAAGGTGAACGCATTAACGATCGCATAGAACGATAATAATCGAGTAATTTTGTGTGAATGTTGTCGAGCGATTTTGACATCCGAACACCATAGAAACAAAATATTGGAAAGTTTACGATACACCGGTCGATTATTGGAAGGGAGACGTTGGGCACCGCAACGACCTCGTTCAAGTGACGAGCGTCCGTTAAAATATTAATACTCGACTTTTAATGAGAGCTGCTCGTCTTCTCTCTTATGGAGCGAGCGCTTGGTGCCCTCTGCCCTTTGCAGCTTCTCCCCCTTTTGCGTTTCATCGCTGTCGTACCCTCTTTCCCCATTCTCTACTTGTCACGATCCAATAAATGCCGCACGAAGAATCTTCACTCGCGAATTTCCCTCCATCCGCGTTATGCTCGTTCCCATCACTGAATTCGGATACCGTGTTCGAAAATCAAATTCTCCGGTGTAATCGTTTCCGGCCGCCCTCGATTAAATTCTTCAACGACCATGGACAATAGTGTCCCGCGTGCTTCCAGCCGATTCTTAAAATCCAGTTATAGCACACTGATAACCCATTGAATCCCGAGAGTTTTATGACCTTAAGGCACCGATCGATCCAGTACAAGTGTCTTCTTACATTTGCTAAGTGGTTAGAGAAATTGCTTTTTGTTGCAAGAAATATTTCGGATTAAGTGATCGACTTGCGTTTACAAAATAGGAGATTTAGATGCACTTAACTAAATAAGATCATACAGATACATTTTCCCTTCATTAATATATTCTTCTAATAGCGTTGACAAAAATTATTAAATTTTCTGTGCGATACCTGTATCGACGCAATGTGGTATTACAAACTACATATACAAAATCTGGCAAACTCTTTTCTAAGCTACTGAATCCTTGCTCTCGCAAGTCGAATACTTTTTAACAAGTTATTCGTGACAACGTTCAATTTAGAAATTACCCTCTCCCTACGACTGGCGGTAATCTATCGTTCTAATTAACCCCCTCCTGTTTCAAGCCTCTGCCGAACTTCTAAATTGCAGCACAACCCCCGCCCCTCAAGAAGATACTCGAGGCCGATAAAATATCTTACTCAACGTTCCCCCTAATCGAACAATCGTCGAGGTAACGTAGGCCATCCTCGAGCACAAAGGACTAAATCATCGCGAAACCCAATCAATGTCTGGTGTACAATGCAATTACAAATCGCTGTACAATTTCTTCTCTCGACCCGGCACGATCACCTCTCGCGAGGACCTTCTGCTCTGCGAATCAAGGACCTCGATTTATCTTTATCCACGTTCTCTCTCTCTCTCTCTCTCTCTCTTCGTTCTTCGTCTTTGTTTCGCACTCGTCCCAGGACCGTCGCCGACTATGCTCACCGGCACACGTCGGTCCGTCTCTCTTATTCCTTCTTCTTGCGGTGTTCTTCCTTGTCGTTGCGCACGGCGATCGGCGCCACCACCTAGCTTAGTCCTGTGCTACCTCCTGTCGCAAGCTGCCAGCCTAATCACGGCAGGACGTTTTCGCGCC